ATTTAAAATGTTTATTTGACCATTTGTCACTTAGCTGCGTTACTAAATTAGAGGACGGGAGAATTCATGTAGGTAATGTGCTTAAAGGTTGTTTGTACACTTCGTTCACGTATCGTAATTCGTAACCTGTAAGAAAACAGCTTATTTATTTCGACATTTTTATAATGACCGTTTGATGTCTTTGTCTGTTTAAAGTCCGGTCCCCCATTTTTCCATAGTTTTCAATGTAGAATGTCCGCCATAAATAGCGTACCTGAATTCAGGCTATAACTTATTATTCTTTTTACTTGTTAAATAGGTAACAAATTGCTTCCCTCGATTTTCAGATTACGAGCAGACGAAGATCAGTTCCACTTAGAGGTGGACATGTCTGCACCTAAAGTGTTCGTACAAGGAACTTACGCTGCAGAAGGGACCTACAACTTTCTGCAAGTTAAAGCTAATGGCGGATTCAATAATACGATGAGTGAGTGATAATTTAGATTCAGGTGTTTATTATTCGCATTAAAGTTTCCTGTAAACTTGGTATGTACATAATTATCCTTCAAAGAATAATGTAGTTGTATACATATGCTCTAAACCTTTGTGATATTATCTATATCTACACAATAACGTAGTCACTTAGAAGTAGCATTTACCTATGTATTATCTAGATAGATAGGTACCTACCTACTCATAAATTATCACAGGCCAGGGCGTAGCTAGGTAAGCTCTGCATTCCAATAAAATATTATAATTATCCATGTGTATAACTGTGTAACTACGTGTATTTAACATAAATTTGCACAGCTTGTACATAAAATAGACATGTGCAGTTGATATGCAGTAGGTAGGGGAGCGTGGGGGAATGGGAACCTACTAAGGAAAATTGACAATAAAAGTCATAGTTTATGCAATTAAAATTTTTATTAGTTATGAACATACGCTTCATATATCTGGGTACTAGATAATCACAGAAAAAATATGAAACTAAGATAAAATATTTGGTTAAAAAAGAAAAAACTAAAACACGTCATTCGCTCTCATTACCCCACAGTTCGGGATATGGGAGCCGATAAAAATCCCGTATGTCAAATGGGAGCCACTACTTATATATAATCAGTCTGAAAAAAAAATTAATGTAATAAAATATATAAGTTACAAAGTAATGAAAATAAACAAGAAAGTGTTAAAGGAATCCATTGAATATTGCAATATGATAAGGAAAGCCAAATAGCTCTCATTACCCGCGTAACATCGAATTGAAAAAGGAATAAAACAGTAAAAACATTTCTATTTTTATTGTGATTTCAAGCATAACTTCTAAAATTTGATAGATACGGTGACATAGCTAGTGTAAATACCATGGTATCATGTATGTATTTTAATGCTTACCTGGGATCATGAAATTTAGCAAATTTTATAAGCGCGGAGCGAAAAACACACAACCATCTCATACGACTAAACGCGGGGTTCTACGGGGGCGCCCACGGGACTCGAACCTTGTCGAACGTTAACGAAGACATAGGAGTGCCGTTTGCACATATACGAACATTGGGAAAGTCCAGTTTAACACCGGTCTCATTACCCGCGGGCTCCAAATACCCCACGTTCCCCTACTTGTTACCTATTTAGGTCCTAATACTACGTTAATTTTTTAAATTTAATTTATCTTTCTGTTTGTAGCTGAATTGGTGTACACATGGAAATTAGATGGCAAGCCCGAGAACATCGGTGACAACACGTACTTGAGGATTGAGTCATTTTATATGCGACCTGACGTCGGCGATATGAAGTCGTATCTTAGTAATGAAAACCCTGATACTAAGGAACTAAGTAAGTGGTTTACGATAATCATTTTTAATTATTGTTGCATTAGAGATTAAAGACAATAGTCTTTAATGATTTAGAGAATGATTTTTTTAAATTATTTTAATAGGCATAACAAACAGTAATTTCACATAAAAAATAATTGAATATTAATTCAATATAAATTTATTTTAAAGAAATCAATACCATAGGTTAAACTTGTAACTAAATGGATACTATAGGTACATACATAGTTTTTATTCTATGTTAATCAATCTGCATTTTGTTACAGCGGACTTGGGGATCAACTTTGCGAATGCAAACTGGAAGTTGGTCTATCGGGAGTTATTGCCTTACGCGCAATCTAATTGGAATAGGATTGGCATTCGAGTATCTAACAAAGTTTTCTTAAAAGTACCATACTCTAAATTGTTCCCTGCTACTTAAATCGTGATATCTACTTTTATGATTAGGTATATATTAATGTATTGTGTCCTTCTTATACTTTTAGTTGCACTGAAAGTTTGATTGTAAGCGGTGATTGTGACATTGATTTTCAATTTTCTACTTCATACTGACTTATCAGAGTCACGTGTTAGTGTGAGACCAGACGAGCGTAATTTTGTGAGTTGTAAGTTGCGTTTATTTTTGCGCTCGACCGAAATTCAGTTGGAGCGCCAGACGAACGTATTTCAATGTGAACATCTAGATCAAATAGTTAAGTACTACCACATGCCAATATTTTTTTTTCAACAATTATTAAGCCTAGTAAAGCCTTTTATTACTAAGTCAGATACAAATATGAGATAAGCCATCAGTCCAGAGGAAAGACTAATAATAACAATCAAGTACCTAAGTTGTTTAATTATTTATATTTTAATCTCTGTATCATTTTCGCAAGAAACGTTTACACTCATGCGCATCTTATACCAAAGTAACCATAGAACACTATACTCACCTTCCCTCACCCCTACCTCCGGCCGCGCCAGCCCGACGCACAACGCGATCGAAAGTCAGTCGTCATTACGCCCGTGAATCGGCAGATAACTCATTTTGTGAAACAAACCGTACTTTTATATGAAACCAAATGCAGCGCAAACTGCGCAACTCACAAAATTACGCTCGTCTGGCTTCACACTTACCGTTACCTTAGTATGCTAATTATTATTTTTAGCGCATATGAGTACTTATAGAATATATCTTTGACATGTAGGTAATGTTTGGCTGGGCATAGTGGAACTTATTTTGTTACTGTGAATTTCTATACCTCCTGTGACTCCACGTAATATGTAAGTAAGTTATGAATTTATAATAAAATACTGTTATAAAATGTAGTGTATCTTATTTCTCCATTGGCATTTAAGGCATTATTTGATTTTTCTGATATATAACATATTTACGCACTCGATTCTATATTTCGCGAAGTTAACAAAGTTGCGATCCAGGGGGTTGACTCCCGTTCTCCGTCCGACATAACTCCGAAACGATTACTGCCAAATAAGTACCTAATCCTCAACCAAATTAAAAGACAATGTCAAGTACGTAGAGGGGCTCTATAAATAATAACAACCGTATAAGCGAGATAGATTTATGCACGGACAGAGTAAACGAGAAAACAATATTGTTTTTTATCCCTTTCTATGTATGCGGCTTTGGTTGTATGACTCAACACTCTTTGAGTCCAGCAAATCCTTCCGACTGTTTGATGTGCATCGATTTTATGTGTTTGTGCTTTTAAGAAGTGTTTTACAAAGTTACTAACCGTTCCTTTGAAGTAATTGACAATGATTGCAGCTCACAATAATGGAGCATTGTTATATTTTAGGCTTAATAGCGAAACTGGAAGGGTCAAACCTCGTAACTTAGATTTTCAACTAAGATTTAATGACAAAATTGTAAACACAGACGCAGAAGTTGCTAAGATATTTGAAAATTTTTTTACCGACATTCCAATTTTGACTACTAATTCGTTAAATTCATCTCCCACGGCCGCTGAATCCTTACTAAAAGAAAATAATGCAGTTAGTATCACTAATTTAAGGTTCCGTCATGTATTTCCAAACGATATTGTTAAAGCCTTTAAGTCTATAAATATAAAAAATACTGCTGATCTTGATGGTCTTTCAGTCAGAGTAATTAGTTCTATAGTTGATTGTATTGCGCCTTACTTAGCCTGTGTCTTTAATAAATGTGTTGATGATGGTGTCTTTCCTGACCTCATGAAGCAAAGTAAAGTTATTCCACTTTTCAAATCTGGTAGTATTTCAGACCTATATCAATACTACCAACTCTCAGTAAAATATTTCAAAAAATTATTCTAAATCAGATGTGTGCACATTTTTATAGTAATAATTTAATGTCTCCTAAACAATTTGGTTTCACTCGGGGTCGCTCTACAACCGACGCTGGTGTAGAGTTGATTAATCATATATTTTATGCATGGGAAGTCTCACATGATGCTATTGGTGTATTCTGTGACCTTTCCAAGGCTTTTGATTGTGTGCACCATGATACACTGGTCAGGAAACTTCGCCATTATGGTGTGGCGGGACGTGATCTCGACCTTCTTAAATCGTATTTGCGTGGTAGGGTACAGAGGGTCGATGTTAACGGTACGAGATCGTCAGGGTCTGTAATTAGCATGGGTGTCCCTCAAGGTTCAATTCTAGGCCCATTTTTGTTTTTAGTTTATATTAATGATTTACCTAGCCTTATGGAGGGTATAAAACATGAGATAGTATTGTTTGCTGATGATACTTCCTTATTATTTAAAGTTAAAAGGCACCAATGTTCCTATGACGATGTGAACAATGCTATATCTAAAGTAGTTGATTGGTTTGCTGTTAATAACCTACTTCTTAATGAGAAAAAAGCAAATTGTGTGAAATTTAAATTACCCAATGTTAGAGAGACGATTACAAACATTGTAGTTAGAAACGAAAAATTGAATCTTGTGGATACAGTTGTATTTCTAGGTATAACGTTAGATGCTAAATTGCAATGGGGTCCCCATATAAGTAAGTTGTCAAAACGGCTCAGCTCTGCAGTGTACGCGATTAAAAAAATAAGGAAACTTTCAGACGTCGAAACCGCTAGATTGGTTTACTTCAGCTACTTTCACAGTGTAATGACATACGGCATTTTGTTTTGGGGTAATGCCGCCGATATCAATAGAATCTTTGTCCTGCAGAAACGTGCAGTTAGGGCAATTTACAATCTGGGCCCCAAAGTATCTTTGAGAGATAAGTTTAAGGAAATTAACATTCTTACACTAGCCTCACAATACATTTATGAAAGTATAATTTATGTTAAAAGGAATAGTAATTTCTTTATGAAAAATAGTGACAGACATAACATTAACACGAGGAATAAAAATAAACTAGCTTTTCTTGATAGTCGTCTTCACAAAGTCAAACAATCATTTAAGGGGCAATGTATACGCTTCTATAACAAGATTCCGGTTGATATACAAAATTTGCCTTTCACGAGGTTTAAAACTATAGTGAAACAAAAACTTTATACTAAAGGTTATTATACAACTTCTGCGTACTTGGATGACAAAAATCCGTGGTAGTAACCCGTTTAGCTCATGGAGGTAGTCTCAATCTGATGTTTCAAATAAAAAAATATTGTAAATGTTATTTACAAAGAGCAACCCCTAGAGTTTCTTGCTCATTCTTCTCAGGGGAATCTGCCTTACGAATGAGCGGTAGAGTTTAACCATTGTGACGATTTCAAGTGTAATAATGCTTACCTACGAAATAAAGATTATTTTGAATTTGAATTTGAATTTGCTGTAAAAGCCGTACGGAACGAAAAATTCCCAACATAGCCTTTCACACATAAGTTTTAATTTTTCATTACAATCAATGTATTTTCTTGTATGAATTACTAGTGAAATACTCTTACAAGCCTGGAATATTACGATTTCATGTATTTTAGATGATATTTGAAGTGTTTTTCTTGACTGAAACATTTTCATTGCATCGTATAAACCTCCTAAAATAAGGAGAATATCTTACTTTTGTCAAATATGTCCATCTCGCTTCTACCAGCAGTGGTTATGATACACGGGAAAGAGAGATAAAATCAATAACGTATAAATTAAATTAGACAGGCTTAAGCTGATTTTAGGGATACCGTGCTTTTGTCACTATCTTTTCCCCTGTTGAGGTTCTATACCCATAGATCATAGATTTATACTGGCCGCTTAGTTTTGTTTATAGCTGTACGATGACAAGCATTGTTTTTCTGTGTTGTTTCTCCATCGTCTAAATATGTGGTTGTTCTATTTCTGTTCTGGTGAATGTATATTATTATAACTGATATCTATCGTCTTCTTCGCCATTCCAAACATTCCCAAGTTATGGGTCATTTTAAATATTGATTTTTTTTTACTTTTAAATACTTTTTCAGTTCGAAATATTATGTACACTAAGTTAATATTGTTCAAGGGCCATTAAAAAAGTAATGATTTGTCATAATTGTTTTATTTGGTTATTAAATCTCAACCAAGCTAAATGTGATCTGGCGGATTCTCCCTCCTTAGATTCGGCAGATTTCATCATTATTATGTACCTATTTATACGTCTCACTGCTGGGCACGGGTCTCCTCTCAAGCGAGTGCTTAGGCGACAGTTCAACCACACTGGCCCAATGAGGGGTGGGGACTGCATACGTTTTCCGAGGATTTTGAACCTTCTTCAACGTTTCATAACGATGTTTTCCTTCACCGAAAAGCTCATGATAAATTTCCAATTAAATATTGAGTTCTTAGGTTTCCGCGATTGTTACACATAGGAAATGAAACTATGGGTCCGGATTTAAATCACGTATATTTGTTTGACTGACCATGGTCAACCGTGACCATGGGACCTGTAAAGGGCCCGAAACGTCGGTTTGTTTGAAAAAACAAATATACGCGATTTGATTCCGGAAAAATAGTTTCATTTCCTATTTCCAATTAAATTTCGCAGAAATTTCGAGAAACTCAGAGGTGCGAGTTTGGATTCGAACCCACGACCCGCTGCTTGAGAGGCAGTAGGTCAAACCACTAGGCTATCATGGCTTCATTTTCATTTCAATTTCTTTAACGGGGTAAAATTTTAAAAGTAGACAACCCAGAATTTATAGGTACTCTGTTGGTATCCCTTTTCAGTATACGCGAGAAACTTCTCTATTCTTTTTTTTTATTCTTCCTCTACGGTAAAGTATGAATCTTCATACGCATTTAATTTGGTCGAGTATTACTTATGTGACACAATTATGTGACAGCAATTGTTTCGGACGGATGTCGGACGTAGAACGGGAATAGATCCCCAGTAAAACCAGCAGCTTTGTGCCAGCAGCTATAAAGCAATTTTTAAACGGAGAACAATCTGACAAAGGGAAGTTGAGTAATTTTCAGACGATGTGAGTTTGATTTGTCAGATTTGACATTTCTTTTGTGATTAACATCAAGATCTTTTTAAGCAGATGGCCTTGAAGCCAATGCTTAATAAATTAAAAAAAAAATTAACATCAAGTTGACAGTTGACATGTGGTATACGGTTCACAAAAAGATATTGTGGATGTGTTGATATTCCGGTAAATTACATGAAAACAGAATGTTTTTTGCGAAACTTTAATGTAAAAATCATAATAATGTCTGTAATGATTAAGTATTTAGTGGCCGGTTTAGTGCGGTATTGGTTAATCCACACGGGCTACTGGCATACTATCTCTAACCGAGTTGAAATTGCGACCCCTCTAAACTCATGGAAGAGGTTAGTCGAAGGCGTTTACCTTTACGACCGCAATATAAACCCTTATGAGGGCGACTCTTTCCATGAATCCCCGATAATGTTGCTCTTGTTCCATTATCTGATGAAAAAAATGCCATTTTTGTTGCCTCTTCTGTTCACAACACTTGATCTCTTTACGGCATACTTGCTATTTAATACTTCCAAAGCATTTATGAGAATATTCAAAAGAACGCAAAAGGAACAATCGGAAGAAGTCGCTGAAGAGTCTAAGACAATGATGCTCGATGATTATCAGTTTAGACAGGCTTCAGAATATGTTTCGTCAGTGTACTTGTTCAATCCGTACTCTGTTTTGAATTGTGCTGGAATGACTACGACAGTTGTACAGAACTTTTTGCTGGCGGCTTCTTTGTGTGGTGCTTCAAATGGATATAGGCTCTTGGCATGTGCCTTTATAGCCTTTGCAACCCACCAAGCCCTTTACCCAGTACTGTTAATAGTACCAATTGCAATTTTAATAGCAGAAGTCAATTCTGGCTGCAAGAAATGCTCATATATAAGAACTTTATTGGTTTTTGTACTCTCCTGGGGATTTCTTATATACATTTCTGCTCATATTATGGATGGTTCTTACCAATATGTGTATAATACTTATGGATTTATGTAAGTTTGCTAGTGTTTATTTGTTTATTGCAATTAATTACTATATATTTGTACACACATTGTGCTATTTATGCATGGGGCAATTCAAACAGATTACAATCATAGTAATAAACATAATTGTTATAATTTGTCTCCATTTCGCTTTGGTAATAATATGAATGTTTAATGTTATGAAAAAAATAATACAAATGGATACAATAAAATAAATATTCTAGTTAATGGCATAAATTTAATAGAACATGTTTCCTCTTACCTTTATCTTTTTACTCCTAAAACGTCAATTTGACATTTTTTTCATAAATGAAATGACAACATTTTTGGTGTATTTGTATTTGTTTATTTAAAATAAGGAATTTCCGTTTCAGATTGACAGTGCCTGATCTGAAGCCAAACATAGGTTTGTTCTGGTACTTTTTTACTGAAATGTTTGAACATTTCCGATTGCTCTTTGTATGCGCATTCCAGATCAATGCATTAGCACTTTATATAGTACCACTTACATTAAAATTTAAGAGGGAACCCGCATTATTGGCCACAGTGCTAATAGCTCTGGCTACAATATTCCGATCATATCCCTGTGTGGGCGATGTTGGTTTTTACTTGGCCCTCCTACCTATGTGGAAACATCTGTTTACATGTAAGTATTTTCTGTGTATTTGATGACAGGTTATGTGTTTTGAGCTATGAAATAATGGTGATAGTTTGAACTTTTGATATCGAGGTAAAGTTCACAATAGAAGATATTATTTCTTCTAAGTATGATATAATTCAAATTGTCAGATCTTATGTTCTATATTCTCACTATATTGTTAAATAGAGAAAATATAAGACAGATTTGAAGATAGTTTATATCGTCGCCTTAGAGTGAATACCTCGTAAGTGATTTCTATGTAATTTTTTCGGACGAAGATAAGAATGTAGTGTTGTTTCTAGTTAGCATTTTAATTCGTTAAATTATACCTCTTTCAGACACTATATTTTTTTAATCATATATTTGAGCAAGAAGTTGTAAGTTTTTCATCAACAAAAATCAGTAATTACAAACTGTGTGTGAGGTATTCACTCTAAGGCGATGATATGTACCATAAACTGAATTTCAAGCTTCTAATTTCATTTGCACAAGAGATCACATTATAGTATCAACACTGGAAAAGGTAAAATGTTTAACACGCATTTAGAAAATGTTACAGGATAATAATAATAATCTTTATTTCTCTCTTACAAAGTTGCGTGCGTGCGTGCGTGCGTGCGTGCGTGCGTGCGTGCGTCCGTGCGTGCGTGCGTGCGTGCGTACGTGCGCGCGCGCGCGTGGGCGTGGGCGTGGGCGTGGGTGCGTGCGTGCGTGCGTGCGTGCGTGCGTGCGTGTGTGTGTGCATGTGTGTGTGCGTGGGCGTATGTGTGGTCTGTTATATGTGATTTTGTGTTGGTGCTACGTGTTGAGTGAAGCAGCCTTGGTATGGAGGTCATAGAGTTTGAATAGCTAGGAGAACTTCAGTGGACTGATAATCAAGACTGAGTAACCACTTTGTAATTTTAGTCTTACATTCATTTTTAGTTAGAGGATAGAAGGCAAGTATATTGTTTAATTTATTATATAAATAACTTCCAAGGAAACAGAAGAATTTACCTGCGAATTTAGTACGGAAAGTTACTGAGGAGCACACAGTGTGTTTCCTTCTTTTATTATTGTAGGTTGCATCGTAAGATAATTGAGAGTGCTTGAACAGAGTGACATTCAAGATAAACAATTGGCGGACAGTTAGGACTTTACAGTGCTTATAGAGCTCACTAGTTGGATAAAGTTGTGGAAGAAAATGACACACTTTGAGTATTAATCTTTGTGCTCTTTCGAGAGGAAGCAGGACACAGGAGAGCTATTTAAAGTATTTTTTTAAGAAAAAGAAAACGATTTTGTTTGTTATATGGAGAGCTAGAAAGTTTCTTCAATCCAGAAAGCTTTTCCATGTAACAAATAAAATTAGAGTTATAATTTCTTTTTCCTTAAAAAAATTAATTTAAATCACTCTCCTGTAATATTTTCCAAATGCACATTAGACATGTAACCTTTCCAGCGTTAATATAGATTATGGTAGAGTCTCAAGCAGTAAGTATAATTGTAGTATAATTTCACCATTTAGCACTAGTTGAAACTTATAACATTATAGATTTACATTTAGCATTGGTTTGAAAATGAAATATGGTTTCAATGAATATTTTCTATGAAAATCAAATTTCGATTTTTTATCATGTACAATGCATGTGACTATATCCCGAATGAATAATATCAAATCCTCTATCTGATAACTTACTGATAAAATAATAATTAACCTAAATACATTATCACAAGAGTAATTTCGTGCAGGATGTACAATACATGTAGTATGAAACCAATATTGTTTTGTATTCCAGTTATGCAGCAAAAGTTCATAGTTGGGTGTGCATTCATCATCACATCGGCTCTTGGCCCAACTGTATGGCATTTGTGGATATACTCAGGATCAGCGAATGCCAACTTCTTCTTTGGAGTTACTCTCTCCTTCGCCACAGCACAGATATTCCTCATCACTGACCTACTTTTTGCTTACATAAAGAGAGAATTTACTTTAAAACATGGATCGTCGCGCCTAGTTGACGGAAAAGCTGCCAAATTAGTACTCCAATAATAGTTGCACGAAACAGTTTTTTGTACAAGTATTTGTTAACAAGTTCAAAGTTCCTTGCATCCAAGTATATATAAGAGCGAGTATTATCCAGTCTGAGTATCGCCCTCTCAATAATGAAGTGATTTCATTCAGAAAGTAACATGTTTGGGCAGATGACACAAAAGATGTTAAAAAAACAAAGTCACAGTTTCAGATAGTTTTATTGTGCACATTGTGTTGTTTGGATCTAATTTGTCTTAATTATTTATATAAAGATCGAACACAGACTCTGACTTGCAAGTGTATGCCAAACTAAGGCCACCTCTATATCAACTGAGCTAAAGATGTTTTCTTTATGTTCAATCTCTGTATTAATAATTATAACAAACTAGTGGAGAATTTCACAAAAAGTAAATGAATATCATGGTGGCATAACATCATGATATTCAATAAAAAATTATTTTGTCAGTTTCTGAAAAATGTCAGGGTGAGAGTGTAATGTGAGGTTGCGATTTGTCAAACTGCTGATAAAAATGACTGTAAATTATTTGTGTCGAATTAACGTCGTTTAAAATAGATAACATAATATTCAATTTGGTATGTACATATGTAATACTCGCTACTAAAGTTTTTATGGAATTTGGATTGTGAATAAAAACCTCTGTAGGGATTAACACATCAAGAGAGTTTACTGAAAGTGCCCAGTGTTGTGTGTGAAATGATTCCAAATGCACATAGGTAGCGTGTACGTTAGTACATTCCAAATGTACATTAGTCACAAATAACTTCAGCATTTCAAGGGTTTTAAGTATAATTTTTACAAGTTCAGTGTGTGTAATGTGTTATTTTTTTTATATGTGCACAAATATTTACGTATTACATTATCTATTTTTTTTATGATACCATGTGATGGGATTATAGTAATTAAAATGATTGAATTATATACTATATTTATTTCATGTATTCCTTTTCATATTGGTTGTATTTTTAAACAAATATAAAGTGACAAAGTAGTGTTTAAGTTGTTTCAATATAGGTCATTATAATATAGGTAGATTTTAGTATTGCCACCAAAGATAGGTACTTTATATTTTTATCTTCAATAATACCTACTTTATATTCACTGTTGTCTTGATGTTAATATTAAGGTAAATAATAATGAGTAATGATTTAATGAATGACTGTAAAATTAATTATTCAGTATTATAGGTCAATAAAATATTTTTTTAAATAATAATTTTTCCTTTTGGTTCTTAGAATGGTCCTACATACTAAAACTATCTGGTTGGATATGCGTACAGTTGTAAAATGGAGATAAATGTTTAGAAATCTTTCTGTATTGATTTTCAAGAACATTTCGCACACGAAATCAAATACTGTCATAACTTGTTTTGTGTTATGGAATTGAGAGGACACAATTTGAAAATAAAAATAAATACTTAATGGAACCTATATACGTATACATCTCGTTTATAAATGTATAAATGGAAAATTAAGTATAATTGAAAATAATCATATTCGCATTTAGACCTATTCAGTATATTTTCAGTACATTTAACTATAACGCGTGGTGAAGCGCGTCGTCGCGCGACGATTCTCGCATTAGCGCCCCCGGATCACAGTGTGGTCGGCGTCAGACGTGTATTAGTAGTTTGTGGTCTGACGCATCACTGCGCGCAAGTAAAACCGTTCAACTTTAACCAAGCGCCGACGCGCGTCGTCGTGTGTCGACACGCGATTCCATATTTGCACAACACAAATTTGTACCTTAATAACGGGAAAATTGAGATGAATATGCTATAGGCGAAAAACGTGACGCGTCGCGACGCTTCGACTCTGTGCCAATGTGAGTTGAACCTTAAATATATCGCACTAAATGCAGGACGACACTTTGTGCAGGACGGGGGTGGGATTTGCCGTGGAGGACGCTTGTACAGGGTCAAGAGCACGTCAAGCTTTACACTTAAGACTTACATCCTACTCTGTGCCGCTTATGATGAGAACCATATAAGAACGGTTCAAAGTGTAAAGTATCAAGCTTGATGTGCTCTTGACTGTACTTCTTTTGAACTTACTACCAAATAGACATCTAAAAACTGTCAGATAGTATAACAAAAACGTAAAAGTTTATTTTTGGTAAATTTATTGTTTTATAAGAAGTTACGAAACAAAAGTTGCTGTTTATGATATTAGTAATATAGCCCTACGAAGTTGTTAGCATTTTAAAAACAACCCTGTTTAACTACAAGTGTAAGTGTAACAAACGATATCAGTTTAATAATTAAAAAATAGAACATAGAACAGCATAATCTTACTTTGCGCATTTTATCTTATCTGATTACCGTACACAGTCCCTCCCAAACAGGCGTAGGTGTGTCAGTGGCATAGTTTCTGTTTTGTTTTACGGCAATAATTAGAATAAAACAATAGTTGTTAAATTATGAGGAAGTTTTATTTGCTGTGTGCGATCTTCTGTAGTAAGTAACTATTTCAAAAATAACATTAAATGTTTTATATTTTGTGTGATGTTGTTTGAATAATACTTCTATTTCCTGCTGACTTGTAATTATTATAAAGTGATAGGCACTCCCTACATATTACAAGAAATTACTGGGACAGAGCTGTACGGTTCTTGCCTTCGAATAATGCAATTTTTTAGATTTCTCTTTCGAGTTTTGTGTATTTTAGTTGCAGAAGGCTCCATCCCAACTAGTATTCCAAATCACTTGTTAGAATGTTACTGGCGCGGTGGTCCTCCATTGGGAGCTCCACGACGGCTCGATGTACTGCTTTCACTAATGAAGAAGCTAGAAAACAGCATACAATTAGACATGCGGATGTTCAGCACGTCTTTACTTCAAAGGTACGATAGTGTTTCCATATATTGTATACTACTTTATAAGTGAAAAAGTGTGACTTAGATTCGGTATAATTATATTTATAGCAAGAGGAAATCTATACAAACTTCAATAGGTAGAGTCATTCGGGGTAACCGAGCGCAGTGGGTAAATGTCAGGAGATATAATAAGCTCCGGAACCGTATAAAAGGTCTGTTTGGGTCAAATCAAGCTTGATGGCTAATTAGTTCCGATTTTGTACTTATACGAACGGTTATTATTTAAGCTTTTTTAAGCAAAAATGTGTTTTTGTTGTTTACATTCACAGATTTTTGTATCTCAGAACAGTGTAATAGCACCTATATTTTCCAAAGGTACAACCACATAAGTGACACTTTTGCCAAAAATGAGTTAATTACACAGTTGTGATAAGAAAGTCACGATTTTTCAACTGGTAAAACCCAATATTTGATAGTTTGCTTAGTTCGTGAGTTAGACAGTGAAAATACCAGGTCAGAGATAGCTTTTGTTAGTGTTGTGTTCGTTTTTTTTTTGTTGTGAGTGTTGTGTTTTTGATAAATCTTAAAAATGTATTCAAGTAAAATATATGAAAACAATTTACGTCTTTCATATTACAAGGTACCTACAACAATAATATACTAAAACAGTTTATTTGGTCCTGCGTGTAACTTTCGAACAAAGTTGGTAGGCGGAAATGGTATAGGTTAAACAAAATAAAATCAAAGACGTGTTTTGCAACATTGTTTTTTAATCTAATTTATTGTGTTGTTTCTGTGCAAAATGTAATTGTTATTGCGTTTCATCAACATGGAAAAGAACACTAGATCAAGGAGTAAACACAAATACGCTGGTGAATAATTTTATGGTACTTTTTTGTATATCACGGTTTGAGGTTATGTTAACCGGACTTTTTTTAATGTTCAAGCAATATGATAATAATGCTTGAAAAGTATTGTAAATGGTGACTTCAAAAAAAGGAGGTAGTTCTCAATTCGACAGTATTTTTTTGCTGTACGTTGTTCAGATAATAATTGATCACATCCAGATCATTGATCATAAATTCCTAGAGTCAGGACATAGCTAGCTACTTGGAGGTAGACTCTATGCACAGCTACATTAAAAATTATAAAAATCACTTCACTGTTTACTCAATGGCGAACATTCTTAAAATTTTTAAAAATGCCCGCAAAAAACAAATAATCAAAGTCGGCACCCAAAAAATAGTGAAAGATAACTACCTTGTCTAAGAATTTATAAGTACCACGAATTTTACGATCTGAAGCAATTGGCTTCTAATTTATATATTAATGCAAAAAATGATTTGAAGGTAAACCTGTAAAGAGGATGAAGATCAGACAGTTTCGTTACATGAAGACGAACCCTACAAAATATTTTCCAAATACGATTTAAAGTGAAGTGACGTTCAGTAGCAGTACAGCTCCTTGTGAAAAAATTCTTCCAGAGAGGTACTGCCACCTTACCTATTTCTGCCGCCAAGCAGTAATGTCAACATTACTGTGTTCCGGTTTTGAAGGGTAAGGGTGCTCGTGAAATTACAGGCACATGGGACTTGTCAACTTATGTTTCAGGGTATCGGGCGCAGTGCCAGTGCCCTCAGATCTTTGCGATTTAAACTCTGAGTGACACTGCAATTGTCATGGATAGGCTTGTAGCTTACCATCACGACGACTTGTTCGTCCCGTTACTTGATATTATAAAAAAAGACTTATATTACAAAACCTCCAAAAACTGCCCCACTGTTAAAACAAATTACACGAAAGACCATTGCCAGTCAATGAAGCCACAAAGAACGATCTACTGAAACTGTGCGTTTCAGGGGTTATTCCAGAAGAGTTTCATGGTTGGTACAAGTGTTTGAGTTCGGATGAGAATATTACCGATCGCAGAACCGGACATTTACGAGAGCGAGCCTGAAGAATAGTAATTATTTTGTAATCATTATCATACATACGACAGCTGATTCATTTTGAGTTCTATGTATAAATATTTTCATTGTTACTACTACAGGGTGAAAGTGAAAACATTTGACAAAATTTTAGGGATATTTAAAAAAATCGAAAATTGTTACATCCACGTTTTCTTAGACTCTTCTGTAAAGTACCTTACCTTCTGTACCTTTGTAATGTATAATGTATTCCCATGCCAATTATCTTGTGTCAAACTAGGGAATTCCCTGTACTACGGATAAGAGAGCAACGGAATTCATAAGTTCGTTTCTCAAATTGTCCTCTAAAGCGCCCACGGTGCAAACCGCAAGGCCACTGAGGTCTTCATTGACAGATAAATTCATAGAAATGTATGTTTTAAATTTCACTCTATAGATTGTAAAACTGACAATCTTTTGTTTTGTGAAGCCTGAGAGGCTATATGGTTCGTTTTTCTTCTAATAACAAACATTTTTCTAAAACAAACATGTTTTTTTCTGAACCGCATGTAAATCAAATGTTCCATTATCATTAGTAAATCTGTTAGTACGTATCTCATAGGTTACATTGACTTTTAAGTTAACCACTGCACCATTCAGGTATAGAGTTAAAATGTATTTGCATTTCACTCCTTTACTTTAATTATTTACAACAGTACAAGCAAAACCACATACCATAGCTTAAGCGTTAGCTTAGCAAAAATAGTCAGGTAAAATAACGTACCATATTGTTGTGTGTCAGTTAATGCCAAAGATTATGTAAATAATGCTATACATTTATAAAATTTCTAGATTTAAAAGAAAAGCCAGCCATTTCTTGTATATTGTTCTTTTGATATCCCTTTAGTTGTGCTATAAAGATTAATAACATGTGTACTGTTAAAACCAAGTAACCAAAAGTACTGTTCACATACTTCTTAGATTTGCAGAAAAATTACAAGACAAACTGACCCAAGAAAAGCCTCTTACACAACTGTAATAATCAATGTATTAATCAAGTACACTGTAAATGCTGAATCACATCACGAAACAATTATTTTATAGTCTTCAATTTTTAAAACCTATTATCTCAGATCAGCAATTTCTGCAGTTATGTGGTTGTACCTTTAAGCAGACAACAGTAAGTTGCTTTTTTTCGGTTATGAACAGATTTACGCAACATTGCTAACAAAATTTCAGATTATATTCGGTTCCAAACATTTTGCGATCCTTCAGTTGCAATTCAATGTTCAGGGGAAAATGTGCGCGTGTAAGTGTACGCATGCTCACCCTCGCCCCGTTCTGTAATATTATCGTCCGTTCATTTGTACATAATTTTAACATGCTTTTATTATATATTGCAGTGCCTAATGGTTATGCTGCTTTTTTATTATTAATATATTTATTTTGACCATGAGCAAGCAATGCACTCATATACTCCATGTGCCTCTACTTACCTCATAAACGTGCGCAGTTACCCGCAATGCGGGTTAAGTGATTTCCGAGTTCCGATTTTACATCGTTTATTGTTAATAGGAAAAAACCGCGTTTTAAGTTTTTGTTTTTTTCTAAATTTAGAGCCAAATAAATGCTTTATTTGAAAATAATACTTTTATGTTGCTAACTCTTACCTATACTTAATGTGCAGTAAGCCCTAAATTACAAAAGTGCGCTCACTTGACTGGAATGACTCTACCTATTCAGTTATATTAGCAGATAACTCGTGCCTGAACTGGCGTTATTAATTAACAGTGCGTTTGGCATAGAACCTACTCATCCATAATAATCCCTCAGAACGTTCATGATTTGAGTTTGTGTCTAGTTGATATTTGGTACGAGCTTTTTTAATGAATCCTCATATTTAGACAGCCTCTACCGCTAAGACGACTAGAAGTATTCTTCCGCTTGACGGCGCTTAGTTCTCAATCAATAATTTCCTTGTTCACATTGTCTGATTTACCAAGTATCCTTTTAAGGTGCACCCTTTGTTACGAAACGAATTTCGTCTACTCTTGTTACAAAAACATAAACAAGTTATGATTAATTAGGTCTTAAATGTATTATTGAACGTTTTCAACGTTTAATAATACATACGTTTTCAGTAGAGTTTGTAATGCGTTCATTACAAACTCTACTCAGACCTTTATTTGTCCACTTGTATTTAAACATAGATTGAGCTTGATAGTGTTTCCAGTGTATGTAATCGAATTATTATTTATGGTCGGTCTTTAATTATTTTTAATACAAAGATCGAACACAAAGAAAAATTCTTTATATCTGACAGGACTTGAACATGCGTCAATATGCCAAGCAAGGGCCCGGTGGCCTTATCTATCGATAGATAGACCGCTCTAGAAATCGAGTCAGCATACGTACCTTACGAATTTCTCTGTGTCGCCGTTACGGACACCTCTGAAGGATGTAAGATTATAGAGTTATTTCACAAAAAATAAATGCAGATCATGGCTTGAAAACATGATATTCAATATTTTCAATAATAGGGTGTTTAATTTTTAGTTTACGGCTGGACGGAATTGAAAGGGCTGGTACACTTGAAGAATCGGACTCCGTGTTACCGTACAGAGCAACTGCATTCCAGTTTCACAAGTATAAAATCCTTATGGAGATATTTCTTCCAAGTCAGAACCTTTTACAAGTAAATGAGACTCTCACAGTGGGTGAAGGATGTTTTCTGCATAGAATGTTGAGTTCAACTGTTCAACAATGGGAGAGAGGAGACGAGAATCTTGTGTGTCCTGTTACAGCTGAACAGAGGCAGAGTATGGTTACTCAAAGCTCGATCAGGTATGTTTATATTATTTTAAAATACCGTATAGGTACAACTTTTAAATGCATACGTATAATTTTAATAGATGTAACATATAGAAGATGAGAGACATCTCTCTTCTCCGTTGTCCTTTTATTTTCCTGCTACTATATCTCCATATTTTATAAATCGATTACATTTTATATTACGTAAAACTGCAAATAGAATTTATAAAACTTTATCTTATATTAATAATGTGTATTTTACAAAAGTGTGTTTTTTATTAAAAGGACATTTTGAAAATGATTTCAGGGTTCACAGCAGGTGTCCAATCGAAGATGGAGTCGTGCAAACCGAGTGGGGAACAATTTCCCCCGGAACTCTTATAGCGGCTATAGCATCATCATTACAAGCGCAAATAGTTTTAATTACTGACATACTAAATGCGAAAGTATTCCAGGAGGATGTGGCTGAGCCCCTACTGACGTCTGCTAAACAGGAGTGGATTGATAATATAGAGACATTAGACGAGCCACAAGTGGCAAGACAAACGGAAACTGCCAGCATTAGTAATATATGGGTTGCTACATTAGCTGGTATGCTTATTAATTCTAAAAAACTCTAGGTTTCTATTCTATCATATATATATATATATATATATATATATATATATATATATATATAGGTTTAAATTTTAAGAAATGAAACTGTTTTTTCGGACCTAAATAGTGTATATTTGTTTTTTCAAATAACTCAACGTTTCGGTCCCTTATCCCAGCTGACTGTCAGCCTTTAAAAAATAGTTTCATTTCCATTTTTTTTTATTACAAAAAAATTATCAAGCCTGACCTAAGGTAGAGTTATTAACGAAAGTTTGCTAATGTTGTTGCTAATTTCTGTAATTTAAATAAATAAAAGAAAAGAATCAACTACTGCTAAAGGATGAAATGACTTCCCTACTTAGACGTAATAAATTGCGATCTGAATTCTTGAGCATTTGAGTGCACATCAAACGTTGTGTTTATATTCACGTTCCAGGTGATCTTGCGGAAGTAGTACTCAATCAAGGACCCAGGACAGGCGCTGTTCCGCAAAGGATGACTGTTGGGAGCAATAGTAGATGGAATGATACGTTACTTCCGAGAAATCACTATTTAATTACACAAAACGCTTCTATAGTTGACTGGCACTTTACAGATGCTGAAATTTTAGCAGGCATTGACGGTACATTTTTGTATTATGTTTGTGTATTTGTTTAAATAGGGACAATAGAAAAGGACACTATTTACTCTGAAAGCAATAAATATCAAAAATGTTTGTGGTTCCAGGTCTAATATTATCACAATATGTGCCGTCCTGGGTCGAACAGAGAAAAACATTAAAACTATCGCAAATAATCGATATGTACTATTCAGATGAAGGCGTATCTTTTCAACCAACTGTAAAAGCGTGTAACAGACAAATGTTGTTTAATACAATCTTCAATAGTTCGGATCTATTGCAAGAGACCATGAGATTTGCTTCAATCTTGTCGTTGCAACAGATTACAGTGTATATTCCTGTGGAAGAAATGGAGAGGTTAGCTAATGCTGCGGTAACTGCGTTTGGAAATTACCTTCGTATGTATTCCTTTTCTATAGTGCCAACGTATGTTGTTATTAGGTGATCTGTGTTTTCGTATGTAAACAGAAGTAAATTTGAAAATTTTAGTAGCAGAAGAGCTCCCTGTGAAAGAGTTCGTCCAGGGAAGTACTGCCGCAGTAATGCAGTAATGCGAGCATTGTGCTGGTAAAATTACAGGCATATGGAATTTGTCAACTTCGGTCTCAAGGTGATGGGCGCAGTGGCAGTGCCCCTAAGATCTTTTTGATTTAAAGCTCTGAGTGCCACTGCAACTGCTAAGGACAGGCGTGTCGTTTACCACCAGGCGTACACTACAACTGCTATGGACAAGGCGTGTCGTTTACCACTAGGCGTACACTACTTGTTCGTCCCGTCACTTAATAATAGGGGTTAAAGTATGAAATTGCCGATTTGTACTGAAAATCT